ACCCAAAAAAAAAAAAAAAAAAAAAAAAAAGGCCATTACCCCCATACCCCCTCTCTATCCCCAGAAGTTTCTCAGCCGTGCGACCTACGACTGTGATTTGTGTGTGTGCAGAGCAAGCTGGACACATTGAACAGAAGGCTTGTGGACTATTGTGGGCATTGTTTGGGTTTTGAGAGGTTGACCTGAGGCTTGCATTACCTGCAGGCTGATGCTGAGCTATGGGTCACTTGTCACAGTCACACATTTTTTAATAATTTTTTGGATTTTCTTATCCAATTCGACGTCCTTGCAAAATCCGAGTCCATGAGATGAAATTTGGTTTTGGGTAGTAGTTGAACTGAGGCTCGCATTTCTCCAAGCTGTTTTTTTTTTTTTTCTCCTCTCATTTGTCGCAGGCCGCTGACTGCAGAGCTGATGGTTGCTTATCACGAACACAAGTATTTCCTCTGATGGTACACCCCTGAACTGTTGAGATACAGACTGAAGTTCGAATTACGCAGTATTAGTTTGCAACTTTGCATGCAAGAATAAAATCATTCTGAATTGACTGGGGCCGGTCAGCTCCAGGCAAAATGGTATATGTTGAACAGTGAAAACAATGGGAACCATGCATCTTTATGCCAACAACATGTGCTGCCGTGTACTGGTGACTTGACGCGGAGGTGCTTTCTTGTGTGTATGTTCATGTGGTGTATTGTTTATGCAGATTGAGCACAGGCATCTTGCAGCTCAGTGAAGGAACTCATCTGACGCTCGATGAGACTTTGCTGAAGCCTGGAAGACTGACAGAAGTCGGTGTGGCAAATGTGCAGAGCCTGAAGAAACTAATGCAATTGCAGCAAGTATGTGCGACCTTCCTTTGTCCTCTCATTTGTTTCTTCAACTTTCCTATTGTAAGAATCCAGGCCGATCGGTGCTTTGGGATATCCGATACAAAGAAGACTACGTAGCATGAACCCTGTACAAGGATGACACACATTAGACGAGAGAAATGGTCCAAATTTTTAGTGAGGACGGGGGAAGGGGGGGGAGAAGAATCCAGGCTGATCCTTGCTCCTCCTGCTATGCGGCTAAATGCTTGCACATACATTGGCCAGGACAGCACCTGCAGACAGCGAACCCTTCATTATGCTTCCCTATGCTGCTATGCATGGAACTATAGTTTAATGTACGTCTGTAACGTCTCTGTATTTGCAGTCACACAATGACACACATCTGAATTCTGACTGCGATACTGACAAGTATGAGACAACAGGTCTACCCTTATGCAGAGTGGAGGACCTTGCCTTAAACCACTAGTACCTCTGCMCCTATTTTCGACAAGTACTGGTCTACCTCCGAACTTTCAGGAGGCCGAGCCCGCCGTTGATAAATCCAATCGGCGGTCGTCGTTTCGTTCCGGCCTCCTGAAAGGTCGGAGGCCGAGTATTTTCGAACCGACAAAGGTACTAGTGGTTTAACCGGAAATATCTCCACAGCAAGGTTACAAGCAGGTTGACATGCCCATGCTCTCCGGAAGGTCGCGGCATCAACAAACTGAGATTAGGCCAGCATCACCTTTCCTAACTACTTTGTTCAGGTGTGGCTGTTAATAGACCGTGTCCTCCTTCACTCTGCTCAGCCTACTGGAGTTAAATGACTGGCGGTGCCAGGCTAACAAAAGGAAAAAAATTCACAAATCTGTCCCCGTGCCGCTTCGTCTTTTATGGGCGTGCAGCAGAAGTCTGCATCAGGAAAAGAGGCTCGGCGGTACTGCTGGAGGTACAGGTTTAAGATGTTATGCGAGGTTACCTCATGTGCATATCTGAGGAGTGGGTCGAGGTGGTCCCGTTGAGGACTCTCCTGCGTGGTCTCAGAATGTACTTGGTCGGCGGACCAGGAGTTTGCGCTTGTATTTTAGATAGACCAAGCAGCAGCCTTTTAAACAACACCTGATGAGCCAACATGAATGGCAAATGAAGAACAATCATCATATGATAATGAAGTTTATTTATCTATCTAGCCCACTTTGTTTCTCCCTTTCAAGCACCGCTTTGCTGTTGGTACTTCTTGTACATCCAGGTGTCCACCGTGGGCAGCTGTGATGTCTTTTTCTGATAGGAGGCAAGCAGCATTGTTCTGGAGAGCCTTTTTCCTGTGGTGTTCGTTCGGACAGGTCGTACAGATGTTACTCTCTGGAGTTTATGGCTGTTAATCTAGCAACCTTAACCCCTGTTCATGGGTTCATTTCTCCATCCTCCTTGCCTGTTCCCCCCTCCTCCCTTGCTTGTACTGATGTGGTGCTTTAGTTTTTTGGCTTTTCCGTGTTCTACTGGCGTTTGTCTTACATCCTTTCGGTTTTCGGCGAACTTTTCGCTGATTCTCTTGACATGATGCAGGTGGACTATGACTTCAAGTACCACACTATGACCATGCAAGCTGATGTACAGATGCTCATTCTCTCACAAGGGAAGTCACTCCTCCCTGCCGATGTTGTTTTGCCACTACGATCAACGGCTCCTGTGATCCCTTTGCATGAGGAGGACAATAGAGAAACCCTTCCCAAGTGGAGGCATTACATCGGTCTCGCACAGCGCCTAGGACACTCAATTGACGGAGACGTGAGAAAGGTAAGTGTTGAGTGCAAGCATTGAATGACTCCTTCCCAGGGAACCCCTTCAACATGCCTCTGATGGTGGACTTCGCCATTTGCTTTGCTCATTGTAACTGTTCGTTTGTGTGTTGGAGGGTGAGCAACTTGGTCCCGGAAGGAGCCATTGAGCAGGATAAACGAACAGTTGTCACTTTCATTGCGCTCCTCACTTGGGAAGTTCAGGCCGTGAATGCATTCACGTCCTGCGTACGTTGAAGTGCCAGTGCCACTATGCCTGACCCTGAATTGCTGAACATAATGTTTTTGCGCCCAAATGAAGGGAAGCTTGGTAGATTAATTACGGATTTTCCGATTTTCTGAATTGCGTTTGTGTGTCTCAGCCGAAGCCGGGCAATGGCCGCGGTATTTCCAAAAATGTTGTCTGTACTTTGATAAGGGATGCTGCGCCTGGTTCCCAGCACGTGTTGCTCCCCATGAATAGATTGGAGCATTAAAAATAAAATACAAATAAAAAATGGTGCCGGCCAGGCCGGTACAGAGAAAGCACGGCCTCCTTGTATAACCCCGGAAGATTCATAGGAGGGAGGGGCCTGGCTAATCCTTAACACTCTTTAAGCGAATAGCGGTCCTCACGTAACGCTCCCGCGAGAGGCCGCTATCCACTGTTGGGAAAACACAGTGGGACGGGCGGGCGGGCCCGACAGATACCGCCTATGTCTTTCGGGCCAGGCCGAACGGGTGAGGGTCGTCGGAATTGTCCAGCGGGCCTGCGTTGGACGGCCCGATAGAGTTTTCGGGATCCGCGGCAGGCCATTCCCGAAACTTCTATCGGGCCGTCCGACGCGTGCCCGATCGGCGATCCTGCCTTTTTTTTTTTGCATTATGTGCAGCTTCCTGGAAACTTCTATCGGGCCGTCCGACGCGGGCCCGATCGGCGATCCTGCTTTTTTTTTTTTGCATTTATGTGCAGCTTCCTGTTTCAGATTTTCTGTTTCAACGACACGTGTTGCTCCCCGCGGTGATCTCTCGATTTGCTGTTTCGATCGCTCGATCGCTCGCTAGAGAGAGAGAGAGAGAGAGAGAGAGAGAGAGAGAGAGAGAGAGAGAGAGAGAGAGAGCGAGAGAGAGAGAGAGAGAGAGAGGGAGGGAGAGCGAGGACTGCTACCGGCTGGGCGGCGACTGCAGCAACGGCTCACGACGACAACGGGTGCGAGGACACGTTGCGGCTGACGATGACGACAACAGAGAGGTAGAGGTTGGCGGGTACAGCCGTGCGGTTCGACGCGAGAGAGCGAGAGAGGGAGAGAGAGAGAGAGCAAGGGAGGGAGAGGGAGAGAGGATAGACGTTGGCAAGTCAGACAGCCGTTGGCGGTGAGAGCAACATGCCGGAGGAAAGGAGAAGAGGAAGACGAGGAGACGACGAGAAGAAGAGATGGCGGACGAAGGTGAGTTGATCTTTTTTTCGTTTTTTTTTTTTTTTTGGACAGGGAGAGGTGATGGGAGGATGGCAGCGCATGCCACTGCACCACGTGGTACACAAGCAATTGCCGAAACGTTTTGTTGGGATAGGGGGAGGGGGCGACCAGGTCGGGATGGAGAAGAGGAGAAGCCGGGATGGAAGTGAGGATGGGCGAAAAGAGCAACGAAGTCGGGATGGGGAGGGACAGGTCCGGTGGTCGGGATAGGGAGGGAAGGAAATCGGGATGGGGAGAGATGGTCGGAGGGTCGGGATGGGGGGTGCAACCCAAAGGCCGACGACGTTGGGATTGGGGAAGGGGAAGTCGCGAGCCGAGGTGGAAGTGGGGATGGCCAAAGGGGGCAGGCGATGGGAGGATGAGCGACGTCGGGAAGGGAAGAAAGGGAGGGAAGGGGGGAGGAGATTCTTAATTTTCCTTTTTTTATTTCTTTTTTCTTCTTTTTTGGGCAGCGCACGCCACTGCACCACGTGCCACACAAGCAACTGCCGGAACATTTTGTTGGGATAGGAGGGGGCGACGAGGTCGGGATGGAAGAGGGGAGAAGCCGGGATGCAAGTCGCAATGAGCGAAAGGGGCAACGAAGTCGGGATGGGGGATGGGGAGGGACAAGTCCGGTGGTTGGGATAAGGAGGGGAAGGTCGGGATGGGCGCAAGTTTTTTTTTTGTTTCTTTTTTTGCAGCCCACACCACTGCACCACGTGGCACACAGGGGCGACAACATCGGGATGGAGGAGGGGAGAAGCCGGGATGCAAGTCAGGATGGGCGAAAGGGGCAACGAAGTCAGGATGCGAAGCGACAGGTCTGCTGGCCGGGATAGGGAGGGGAGGAAATCGGGATGGGGAGAAATGGTCGGAGGGTCCGGATGGGGAGGGGGAAGTCGGGATGGGCTCAATTGCCGGAACGTTTTGTTGGGATAGGGGGAGGGGGCGACCAGCTCGGGATGGAGGAGGGGAGAAGCTGGGATGGAAGTCCGGGTGGGCGAAAAGGGCAACGAAGTTGGGATGGGGAGGGACAGGTCCGGTGGTCGGGATAGGGAAGGGAGGAAATCGGGATGGGGAGAGATGGTCGGAGGTTCGGAATGGGGAGGCAGAAGTCGGGATGCGGGATGGGTGCAACTCAAAGCTCGACGGCGTTGGGATAGGGGAAGGGGAAGCCGCGAGCCGGGGTGGAAGTCGGGATAGCCAAAGGGGGCAACGAAGTTGGGATGGGAAGGGACAGGTCCGGAGGTCGGGATAGAGAGGGGAGTATTTCGGAAGGTCGGGATGGAGAGGGGGAAGCACCCAAAGCCCGACGGCGTGAGCATAAGGGAAGGGGAAGTCGCGAGCCGGGGTGGAAGTCAGGATGGGCAAAAGGGACAACGAAGGTCGGGATGCACAATGAGGTCGGGAAGGGGTGGTTTGTACGAGGGGGATTTGTGGGTAACGGACAGGGAAAGAAGTGGAGGGAGGGAGAAATCGGAATACGAGATGAGGGCAACGAGGTCGGGGACGGGGAAAGTCCAGATCAGTTGATTGATTGGAGAGAGAGAGAGAGAGAGAGAGAGAGAGAGAGAGAGAGAGAGAGAGAGAGAGAGAGAGAGAGAGAGAGAGAGAGAGAGAGAGAGAGAGANGCGCCCAACGCTACGGGCAAAAAAAAAAAAACCGCAGTTGCACTCACGCACCGCACCGCACTACCGCACTCTCGCACTCACGCACCGCACCTCACTCCCGCACTCGCCTGCTTCGGTTTCCGCTGCCCGCCCGCGTCAGCTTGGCCCTCCGCCTCTTGCCCGCTTCGCTTTTCCCTGCCCGCTACTTTCCCCGTCCGTCTCTGCGCGGGCCTCGGCCCTGGGCCAGTTCCCCCCCGCCCCCCCGCCTCGTTTTTGTGTCCCAAGCGGTTTCCCTTGGGCCCGCGACCGAGCATGTCGCCAGACCCTTTGCTTGCTTTAGTATGTATAGAGAAGAGAGGCAGCATGGGCCTGGGCGCTTTCAACCAACTGGCGCTGCACAACTGCCTGAATTTCCCCCCGTTGCGTAGTAGTCCAAAATAGGCCTAGGTCGGACCTGCCTTCTCTTAGGGTGGTCGACCTTGCTGATAACAGGGCCCATTAGGGCTTACCGAGGCCTTGTGCCTCGCACATAGTATATTGTTGAATTATTTCTTATTTACATCCTTGGAGGCTTATGCGGCTGCTACAATGTTCCCCGTAATACTATAATGACAAAAAGAAAAAAGAAAAAAGGCCTGAAAGGCTGTCCTGTCCAGATTTGACAGGTAATTGAATTGGTTGGGCTTAAAATAATTGGCCTTAAGAAATGGTCACTGCAGGTTGGCGGACATGCTCCCAGTAGGCTCTACCCCAGCCAATGTTGGTAGAATGAAGCATAGATAATCCATCTTGTTCTTTCCTTTGCTTTGTGTTGTCATAAAGGGGTCATGCTAATCTTCCCTGTATCGTTCCAAGTTCTACTTTCAGACATTGTCCTGGAGAACAGTACACACATGGGATTGTTAGTATACTCATAACTGTAATCATTTTTTTATTTGAAAGTTTATGACAATGCTAGTCGCTAGCCCCTTCAGAAAACAAAACTGCAATAATAATCATGTTCGAGTGAAGACAAGTTGTTGGCACCTTGGCAAAGGGGAAGAGTGAAAGATATGCTGATGAATATGACGACATTCTGCCAACAAGGCGCCACCATGAGGATGTGAACACAGACCTGTCGAAGTTATTGGATACTAGCTAAGCGCCCGCGGTGCGGGCGGTGCGGGCTACGCCCCCAAAAATAAGAAATTTTGTAGGCAACCTGACACAGACCACTCGCATAAATTCAAAGAGACTTAAAAAAAAAAAAAAAAAAAGAATCATAGGGTAATAACGAATAACCCAAAACTGGCTACAAAGTCTAAGTTAAACTGACGAATTAAAAAAATGTCAAATTGAAAAAAGAAAAAAGAAAAAAAAGGTAGGAGAAAGGCGAGGAAAGACAAAGACAGACAAAGAGAGACACAAAGAGAGACAAAAAGAAAGGAAAAGATAGAGACATACAGAGAGAGAGAGAGAGAGAGAGAGAGAGAGAGAGAGAGAGAGAGAGAGAGGACAATTGGTGGAGCCGATACAACAGGTTCACAAACAGACAGAGAGAGTGACACAACGGATGAGACAGAGAGAGACAGAGAATACAACAGGTCCCATGAAAAAACATCGCTCATTTTTCCCAACCATATCAAATACCAAATTTCTGCATCTTCTATTCTCCTTCCCCAATTTTCTCACAGTCTCTCGCCTTTTCGCCGCGGGCGGAGCAGCAGCGGGTCCACTTGTAGCCTATAATACAAACAGGCCTCCCAAGCTGCCAGCAATATCAGTGAAACGTAAGGGCTCCTCCTTTCCAGCATTCACCAATAGACAAAAACATACGAGGGCTATATTAGATCCTCTCGGTCTCCTGTTCCTTTTTTTTTTTTTTTTTTTTTCCTTTGGTTCGTCCTCGTGCAGGTGCCATGGGAATATTCTGTCTGTCGTTACAAGTTTGATGGATGTCCCAAAGGACTACCGGTAGTTCTCCTACTTGTCTTTAAGACTTTGACCAAAACAATAGTAACAAGTTAAAAAAAAAAAAAGAAGAAGAAGAAGAAGAAGAAGTCTCCGACAGTCCTCTCTCCTTGTCTATCAGTGGTGATCCTGAGTTCTATGATCCTTGATTAACTTCCCCCAGGTTATTGAAGCCGACATAATTGCTGCTAGGAAGGAAGACCCATTGGTGGGCACGGACACCTTTCACAGGTGAGATCATATTTTTGTGTTCTTTGTTATCCATTTTGTAAATTGCCGGGAGGGGAGGGGAGGGCGGGGGGGGGGGTGAAGAGAGGATTTTCATAAATTTGTGGAATCAAATCGCAGCTTTTCTGGAAGTTGCAATGCATGGGAATGCTACAGACTTATTTCAAGTTATTTGTTGCTTTGTGATTACCTCATTGAGGCTCTTCCGTCTTTCTTTTCTCGCTTTTCGTTCTTCTTATATAAGAGGGAATAACATAATGCAAGGACACAACAATGATTGCAAGTCGATCAGGCCAGCAACTTCACAGAACTCGATTCCTAAGTGAAACATTGGTCCTTCGGGACATCCGTTAAAATTGGAACACGGTTCAGAGAAGATTAGCACGGCCCCTGCGCGCAAGGATCGACATGCATTGAACGAGAAATGGTCGAAAAAGGAAAACGAAAAAAAAATCGATATCAAAGGCAAAGGCAAAAGTCAAGGTTGAACGTTCACTTGTTAGTAGAGATGGAAACAGAGCTACTCGACAGATTTGTACCATCTGGTTAGGTGCGGCTGGTTGGATTGCAATCGATATTCTGGATGTCGTGGGCCATATCTGAACTGCCTGGCATCCCAGGCAGGTGGGGAAACTTTGGCCCTGCCTTTCAGGAGAGGTGTTTTCCTGGTGGCTGCATTCTCCAGAAAAAGGGAGAAAGCAAAGACGTGCGGCTTCTACCATGCGCCACATGAAAAGTGCAGACCACAGATGATGCCAGATTCCTCAGAAGAGAGTCATAGAGTTGGGCCTCAGGCCCACACACCTCCTAGACCCCCCCAGATGCCTCCATCATCCCACAAGTGACTTGTCATCTTGCAGGGAGTGGTGGGCCGAGCGGATGAGTGATGGAAGCTGGTGGCAGAAGCGAGCAACGCCGGAGATAGCAGGGAGTTAGAAAAGGGAGAAACCGAAGACGTGCGGCTTCTACCACCTGCATTATCTCGCTGTCCGTCTTGCTAATCAGTGATCAGACAGAAATGTCCGAAGCTCGAAAGTGTCGAAACTTCCAAATCTGTCCATGGCCAGAGTTGGATTTGCAACTGCAACTGCAGCTACGGTTACCTATGTGGCAGCATCAGTAGTGTTCCGGTTCCCAGCATGAGTAGGGCCCACATGGTATGACCTAAATAGGAACAGGTCAGGATTAGCTGGGTCAGGTGGGAAAGTAGCACAGGCAATTTTGGTAAGACATCCAATCTTGGTTCACCCACCAGCCACTCTCCCTCTCTCTCCAGCCAACCTGGAGTAGTCTCTGCCATTTCTTGATCTGTGGCGATGTTCATGACCACTGCATGCTTTTCAACGTGACTTTTGGGCAAGTGCCCTCAATGCCAACCACCTCAGTGCAACACCAACCTCCCCTGATGTCCGCCTAGTGGCTCTCCTCTGCTACACCACTTGTCCTTCGCGGTGCTCGTCTCCGTCTGTAATTGATTGCACTCCTCTTGACTCCTCTCTACCAAAATAAAATTTGGGAGCGCCTTCTTGAGCTTTCGCTTTTCCCAATGTGCCGACACAAAGAGTTGCATCAGAGTTTATGCTGCACTATTCTACGTGTGGCCACTTCTTTCTCCTCCAGTGTTGACGACTCGGGACCAGAACCGAGTTCCTCCGGCGCTCCATGAGTAGCGAAAGTGAAATGTCAGGATGTACAAATGAGAGAGAGCTGCTTTCTTTGGTCTATTTTGCTGGATTGACTGGCTGAGTGTACAGGCAATGCGGAAAACGTGTGCTGCTGGCGTTTCGGAAAAGCGAGGCACGCGGTGCGCCGCCTCCAGGCCCGGGTGTACTGGTGGTTTAACGCCGACTGACTCAAATGGACCTGGATAGATCTCTACAGAGTAGTACAGACCCTTCACTATATGCATTTTGCACCCCTTGAAACGCTGCACCGCAATTGAAGACTGGTGGAACTGATTTTTTTTTTCTGGAAATTTGTGGGAAAAAGAAAGATGCCGGTTCACCGTTGGCCAGTCATCATCAAGGACAACAGAGAATGACCAACCCTCGAGTAGAGAAATGTGAGTGGCTTAAGGTGCACACCTAAATAGGCTACAACAGTATGCCAAAAACAAGCGCAGCTGACATGTCTGGTGCCCAGAAAGCTGGAAATGACAATACCACCCTGGCCAGAATGTTCCTAGACAAGGCACGTCATGGTGTCTGGACGTGTAGGTGCAGCCTTCTGCGCGGAGGTTAGAATGGAGAAGTTTTTTGGGTGGGGGCTGCTCATCCATCATCAACGACGGGGAAGAGGAAAAGCGAAAGAAAGGTAAGCTGGTAGAGAAACAGAGGTGGGATGGTGGGATGGTGGGATGGTGGGGTGGAGTGGGTTAGCTTTTTGTGGGTGGGGTGTGACCTATCAGTGAAGGAAAGGGGAAAGAAGGATAGGATGGCAGCGAAGAGGAGTGTAGCTTTGTGGGTAGGCTGTTCAACTATTGCTGAAGAACAAGATGGAGAGAAAAAGGGAAAGTAGGGAAAGATGGTGAGAACAGGGATGCGGTTAGATAGAACGCCTTGGCGAAAAATTAGCCTCCAAAAACTTGAAGTGGATTTATATATCTGATCTGGTTGAAGACCAAGATGTGGCAGCGCAAAGTTTACAGGACTCTATCGCTAACAACAACGGCAAAAGTAACTGCAGCAAAGTCTCTGATGCTCAGAAAACTAAGAGAAAGAGAGAGAGAGAGAGAGAGAGAGAGAGAGAGAGAGA